TTTTCTATCATTTTCATCGGAACGGACTCCAATCTCAATGTTTCTAGATTCCTAAGGAATTCAAGACAGCGTGGTAATGCCTTTAATTTCATGCAGCAATGAAGTATTAACAACTGGAGTTTCGGCATCACACCTTCTTCTATTGTTATATTTTTCAAGAAGGGGAAATTAAGCAACTCCAGATGTGTGAGCCTTGCAAAGCCTATATTGAAGCACAACTCGTTCCCAACATAGGCATTAAATGACGGAACCCTATCACACCAGAATTGTGGCAAATCAGGTAAACCCTATTTAGGTTATTTTCACTATCTTTCAGAATTATCTGTAACCGGGAAAATCTCCATCAATCCTCTTCTTTTCAGTTTATCTTTATGCCCATTCATGCATGTATATATTATACGAAGAAGCTTTTGACATATGGCATGTATTGTGTATCAAATGTATACCGCTTCATGAAGACAGGTTCAAGAGCACATACACCATTTTCACCTTATTCATTCATTTTTGTTTATTCTGGGTTACTGCAATTTGAATCATAATATTAAAGATTTTAACTTCAGCAGAATATTTTGTCATGGACAATGCACATTAAAAAGCAAATACTGGACAGTGATAATCACGATACTATGTGCCCGTTTGGTATTGCTTATTTGGGGCGATAAGTGATTTTTTAAAAATTTTGGGAAGCTCAACCCGTTTTTTATATATATTCAATATTGATCGGCATCACAATTTCATATTTCTCATTGCACTAAACCCCACAGAGAAACAAGATCCCCCTATCTGAGCCAGTTATCTAAAATTTAGTCCATCTTCTACATGCTGCGTGTCTCATTTGAAAGACAAGTTTCTGCATTACAGTACATACCTTCTGACTCTTATATTACCTCACAAATGTTCATGCACCAACTGGCAAGCTTGCTCATCAACACCCACAACAGAACATACATTTAAATTTACGTTCAACTACATAGATTCTGAGTTATCGTTTAGTTACATGATCCAAAGTCCACTAGCTGACTAGTCTCTCCAATCTACCAAAAAATTTCATTCATTGATAGCATTTTTTTAATAAGAAGATCTTATTGAGTCTGTCCAATGGTTCAATGCTAAGGCGCCAAACTCAGTTGTTTATGTTAACTTTGGCAGCATAGTGGTCATAAAATCAGAAGATCTTATTGAGTTTTGTTGGGGACTTGCAAATAGCAAGCTTCCTTTCTTCTGGGTAGTTAGACCTGATCTGGTAGTTGGTGAATCGGCGATTTTGCCACCTGAGTTTGTAGCTGAAACTAAGGGAAGAGGTTTGGTAGCAAGCTGGTGCCCACAAGAGCAAGTCCTTAGCCACCCATCAATGGGAAGATTCTTAACATACAGTGGTTGGAACTCAACCATTGAGAGTCTTTCTGCAGGAGTTCCTATGCTTTGTTGGCCATTCTTTGCCGAACAGCGAATAAATTGTGTCTATACTTGCAATGAATGGGGCGTTGGCTTGGAGATCAATAATAATGCCAAGAGAGACCAAGTAGGCCTAATGAACTCATGATGGCCTTCATATGTAGCCCCAGTAATTATATTACCATCAACAACAGAAGGCAACAAGGTCTCGGGTTCCACCCAATAAGCACCTGCAGCAACAAGTACAGGTCTGGCACCTGGGAAGGCCGTTATATTTTAACGGTATAGCCGAGCGGCTATACTCGAAAATAGAACATTTTAAACCTATAGCCGCTCGGCTATAATCCAAAATACGCTATAAATATAACATTTTAAAAGTACAGCCGCTCGGCTATACGCCATAAATAAAATTTCGTAAACATATAGCCGCGCGGTTATACTCCAAAATTATAATATCGTAAAGGTATAGCCGCGCGGCTATACTCTTTTAGAAGATCTTAAAAAAAATATAGAAAACCAAAAAACATATTAAAACAAAGGGGGACCCCCGGACCAGAAAGACATATAGCATTTGAAGATTTGTAAATTAAACACAAATCATGATTCAGCAAACCTAGGTAGCCCATTATCAGATTATTTTCACTTAGAGACGAGGGCACTAATGCAATTTTGTTTATTTAATATGGTGTACACAGTGACGTTGGAGCCAAGAATTTGTTCACACTATCTTGTCTCCGGAACTCAAGCTCAATACAGGTTGGTTCTCTAGCCCATAATGAATGAGCAAGCTGCAAGCACTCTAACAAAACTCCTAACTTGTGTTCTTGTTTGTCAATCTAATAGAGTGGCTCTAATCAACAATAAAACTTATTCATTTTGTCTATAATTAAGGCTACCAACCATTGGCTGATGCAAAAAACTAAACTTGAAAGCCTTATGTTCGTTCGTAAACTTGACAAACTAATTTCCAGTCTCAACAGATTCCAAATTTTAGAGGAGGCAACATAATCCCATATGTGAGAATTGTAAGCACTTCAATCTTTGAGACAAATTTCTTGTTTTGGGTTTACAAATTCAAGTGAAGTAAGCATTCAATCGTCAATGTAATTGAGTGTGCTTGATTACAGAGCATGGAAAAGACCAATTGACAGTGCTCAAGTGATGTAATGAGGCTAAAGAATAAATTTTTATCATATAATCATTAAATTTGTTCACTAAAAGATGTGTCATCGTTATATGTAAACTTTTTAGAAATATATAAGCTAGCTAGGCTTTTACATGAATTCAAATTTGGATACATGAAATATTGTTATCTACTACGTCATTTGGTGAACAGATTTGATGTTCCTAACAATTCTATGCGTACTAGTAAAGTACTTTGTCTTTAATTTTGAAGTACCCGAAAGCATAATGTTTTTCATATATTATCTTGCAGGAGGCAATTCAAGAAAGAAAGCCATCATTATTGGAGGTGTAGTTATTCTCATTGTTGGAGTTTTTCTCTATTTTAAACTTTCAAGAAAGCCCGAGGCTGCCACAACCACAGAATTCGAAGTTGCATTTCCTCTTGCATATATACTATTATTCAATTAGCTCCTGCTCTAACCATGTATACATATATATAAGAGGCTCTCTCAACTGGAAACAACTAAACGACATAATCCTGGATACAGCTAGGGGTCTTGCCTATTTACATGAGGAGTTTCATGTATGCATCATACATAGAGATATAAAAACCAGCAATATTCTTTTAGTACCAGATGATCAGACTCATCTTAGTACCAGATTTGCTGGAACATTGTAAGTTAAAGTACTTCACTTCCCACAGGCATAACCCCTGATGGAGATCTATATGATCATCATTTATACTGGTCTTTTGTTTTGACCTACTTACGGCTCAATCTGCACACAAAAAGTGATATGAATCTACTATATACATGGCCGGTACATATATGAATCTACTATATACATGGCCTGAATATGCAATTCATGGCCAATTGTCAGAAAAGGTGGATACATATAGTTATGGTGTGGTTGTCCTTGAAATCATAAGTGGCCAAAAGAGCAGTGAAATCAAATCTGATGCTATGGGTGAATTTCTACTTGAAAAGGTAACTTCCAAACTGTATATATAATTCTTCCCTGAGATTTCTATTCCGCTTAATTTAGAATTGTAACATGTTTTATTTTATTTTATTTCTTTTTCACATTAATGATTAGGCATGGAAACTGTATGAGAATGGCAAGCACGTGGAGCTGGTGGATCCAAATCTGGATCCAAATGAATACAAACCAGAAGATGTAAAGAAGATTATAGAAATTGCTCTGATGTGCACTCAACCATCAGCTGCTCAAAGGCCTACAATGTCTGAAGTTGTAGTTCTACTTAAAAGCACTAGCTCCTTGGAGAATAGGGCGCTCACTAGGCCTGTTTTTGTTGATTCTGATAAGAGAGTGAAGGGAGACACATCAACCTCTACTGCTTCCTCCACATCCAACGCCACTGTATCGCTTTCTCAAGTTTCAGGTCGCTAAGTGCTAATTAAAGCAGTATATTTCAACTCTTATACATAAAATTTGGGAGTTTTCCTTTGGATGTTTAGTTTCAAAGCAAAGATGTTTTTTTTCTGTCTACTAGGATTGTTAACAATAGTGATTTCACACTCCTTTTTCTTCGTTTGAATTCCTCTTGGTTTTTCATGTAAAGCACAAATCCTAGTTGTATGCCCCGGAGCCAAACATTTGATGTACTTTAAATCTTTACTATTCAATAATACTGCATAACTGTTGATATTTACATGAATGGTTCATAAAATTGAAGTGGAGAAGAAACTATCTTAAGAGTTGAGAATGAGTTTGGGTGGCTTGAGTGAAAACACTTTATCCATCAACACAAGGAGATGGTGAAGGCATCTTATTATGGTGGGATCATTTGCATCCTCCGGAGCCTTTCTTTTTCGAAATAAGGATAGATTTTAATCATTAAACTAGGAATGTAAACGCTAGATCTGAAAGCAGATTCAAGGATTTCCATAAAAAACGAGTTTGGGTGGCTTGAGTGAAAACACTTTATCCATAAACACAAAGAGATGGTGAAGGCATCTTATTATGGCGGGATCATTTGCATCCTCCAGAGCCTTTCTTTTCTGAAATATGGGTAGATTTTAATCATTAAACTAGGAATGTTAACGCTAGATCTGAAAGCAGATTCCATAAAAAAATCATTATCAACATTACGTAGTTACAAACATACAAGATCCATCCACAATTGATACATATACAGCAGAATCAGAGCATCATTGTTCCCTCATAGATACACACATCAGCTTAACATATGCTCTAATTCTTTTATTTAATTACATGGAGTTTCTGACTATGTTTCTTTTTCTTTTATTCTCTTATTCGTTTAAGGAATTACATATATTACTTGGAAGCAGCTGACCTGGTAAAGGGTGCCTAGAATGATACTCGAATATCAAGCAATGTCATCAATTGAGAAATAAGCTCTGGTTGGCCATGCCACGCTGCTGCGGTAACCAGATTTCCATCAGTGACACAACAATCTATTGGATCCGCTTCCACAAACGTCCCCCGTGACGAAATCACACGAGCCTTAATCCCTGGGTATCCAGTACATTTCTTCCCCTGAAATATAGCCAATTAAACCAATTATGACATGCTAAAAAAAGTGCCTAATCAGAAAATAAGTACATTAACCACTAATCAAAAGAAACAGAAAAAATATCATCTCGTTTGCGATTTTAAAGAGTACTCACCTCCCTCTTCCCAATATTTATTTACAATTAAGAGGTTAATAGGTCACAACAGATCAGCTCAACAGATCAGCTTAATAGGTCCCAATATTTATTTACAATTGAGATGTAACCCTTTTTTTTTCTTTTTTTTTAAATCCCTTTTCAAGTACAATCGATAAAGTATTTCAATCTGTTTTACTTTTTCTTTAATAAGTAGCATTATATTAATGTTTTAGTGACAAACGTTTAACCACTAAATGCAGGTAGGAAATATGTTTTTTCTTTAAGAACCATACCTGCAGAACACCAGCAGCAACTAAAATTTCCAGGCCATGGCAGATGGATGCAACTGCTTCCATAAATTGTTTCACTTGTACAATAACATCCTCATTTAGTGCCAAAAACTCTGGAGCTTTACCTCCAGGGAGTACACATATGTATATCCTCTTCCACAAACATCCCCCCTGACGAAACCACACGAGCCTTAATCCCTGGGTATCCAGTACATTTCTTCCCCTGAAATATAGCCAATTAATCCAATTATGATATGCTCAAATTTGCAGGTAAATTTTTTCAATTTCGGGTTTCAGACTTTCAGTCAATCGCAGCGTTCCAAAAATGGGCCTAGGCGGGTGGCTAGGCGGCTGGGCGGAAGCTAGGCGGGCGCTAGGCGGCTGGGCGGGAGCTAGGCGGGCGCTAGGCGGCTGGGCGGGTCTCCTAGGCGGGTTGGGTCTTTTTTGGGTGCTGAACCCGGAGCACGAAGCAGCCGAAACCGAAGAAATCGATCTTTCCTCTGCGAGCGAGGAGCAAGCTTTGTATTTAGAATATTCGAATATATTAGTATTTAAAGAGTATGGCCGAAAGGCTATATTTTTAAAATATTCAAATGTATTTAGAGAGTACAGCCGCGCAGCTATACGCTTTAAATATACAATTTTGTCATGTCATTTTAGGGTTTAGGGCTAAAATACCGCTTTAGCTCATTGGTCTACAGTTATTTCTTCGATTATCTTTTTTTTATACAAGCGATATTGGGAAATGAGAATTTAAATTCCTTCTGATACCTTCCATTCAAATATGTAAAATGTTGCTACTGGGGTGTGGATGAGGGTGAGGGTGAGGGTGAGCTAGCCATCATAAGGGAATCTGCATGGTTCAATTCCCCAAGTCTTCTCCGCATAGTCTCGGATTGTTCTGTCATTGCTAAATCTCCCCGACTCAGTTGTGCTAAGGATGCTCATCTTAGTCCACTTATTTGGATCCGCAAATGCTTTATCAGCAGCAGCCTGTAGTCATATAGATTCAAATCCAACGCACTATAGTAAGTTATACAACACCAAACTCAAAATGCATATATATGCATTGGGTTGGGACTGCCAAGTGAACAGAAATAATTACCTGAGCCTCTAAATAGCTCTCAAAATTAGAACCAAGCAAATAGAAGTCTTTACCACCGTCCACAGTATCACATAGAGATTGAAAATAGTCTTTGCGAGTGTAAGCTCCGTCCTCTGCGAGTGCAAGCTTCGTGTTTGTTTGAAATATATTTAAAGAGTATAGCCGAGCGGCTATAGATTTAAAATATTCGAATATATTTAAACAGTATAGCCGCTCGGCTATACGTCATTTAAAAAATTTAAAATTTTGAATGTGGTTCCGAGAGTTGTCATGTTGAAGTTCTATGAGATGCAATGCAGGTCTCAGTTTCACATCAACGGAGTTGAAGGATCTCTCCAAGTTATTGTTAAAGTATAAATAGAATATCTTAGGGTATAGCCGCGCGGCATTACCCTATTAATAGAATATGCCAAACGGTATAGCCGCGCGGCTGTACTATATAAATAGAATATGCTGACCGTTTAGCCGCATGGCTATACTGTATAAATAGAATGTCTTTCAGTACAGCCGCTGGCTATACTCTGTTAATAGAATATGTCAAACGGTATAGCCGCACGGCGATACAATATAAATAAAATATGTTTAAAGTATCGCCGTGCGGCGATACTGTATAAATGGAATATCTAACAGTATATCCGCCCAGCTATACTCTGTAAATAGAATATGTTAAAAGGTATAGCCGAGTATAGCCGTATGGCGATACTATATATAAATAGAATATTCTAAACATATAGCCGCTCGGCTATACTCTATAAATATAATATTTTAAACCATACCACGCTCCCAGCCAACACATCCATCATCGCCATCACCATCTTCTTCGTCATTGTCACCATCTTCGTAAAATTCCGAAGAATTATCGTCTGATCCCAAAACTAGATGAAATTCCGAAGAGTTGTTGGAGAAATTCAGAGCTGGGTTTGTTGTTGTTGTTTTGCTGATAGTAAAACTCGTCAAGTCTCCAAATTGTTTTGATGATCCTTCTTGCTTTTTTCTTTCACTTACCACACCCTTTTCTTTCTTCTCTCTCTAAATTTCTAAACACACGCAGACCGTAATATAATAAAATCCACTCCCAACTAACATTCATGCACAGATCCATCAACCCCACTACCACCAAAACCAAGAATCCAGCTATCATTATTTTGTTTTTTGTTTGAAACCTTTTGAAATTTCATTGAAAAAACCTGGTCTGCAAAAAATACAACAGGGGTGGAATATTTTGGTTAATTTTCATTTTCATTTGGAGGGTGCGGGAAGGCAGCCAAGGTATACGTTACAGACAAAGCTTCAATCTAGCTCCCTCTCAGAGACACACCTCCATTGACGATGAGTGTTCGGGCTTTTTGCTGGATGGGGCTGTTTTTTCTTTTTTTATTTCTTTAAATGTTATTATAGATTTCTTATTATTTATTATTTATTTCCTCTTTGGTTGATTTATTTATTATTTATTTTACTCGAAATTACAAGTTTACCCTTATAGTTAACGGAAAATTTGATGAAATTCACACAACTTAACAGTAAGGGCCAAATTTACCATTTAATTAATTTGGTAGTTAAATTAGCTAATTTTTTAGTTCGGGGAGTTAAGTTCAATTGGGGTCCTAGTTCGGGGTTATGTACCTCAACTTACTCTAAATTAATTTATGTTATTTTAAATGGAACTGAATTATTATCGGATTGAATTTGTTAAATAATTGATTTTCATATTCGAATTAGATTTGGATCAAAATTCGATGCATTGAGAGGTAAGTCTCTAGTCTGATTTGAGTTGCAATGCAAGGGTCCTGTCACAAAAAAAAAAACACAAGATAAACCTAGAATGTGATATACCACTTGAGACTTGGACCATTACTTGTGCTTGACATAACAATTTTTGGACTTTTTATATACATATAATTGGTCACAGGAACATTAGATAGCATTGTTAAGCCTTCAACTCTGAAGATCAAACATTTGAGAAGATAAGGAGTGATGTGATGAATAGGCCTTCTTGCTTCTATTTTTCCCTTCACTGCTATGTTTTTTTAAAATAAATAAATTGTTAATTCACAGAAATGAAAATATAATATCATGTGAAAAATACACTCTAGATGCAGCAACAAACGAAAAGGACACTTCGGTGAGTGATAAATCAAATTTCAATATAAAGCACAAGTAATAGTCACAATATTCGTCGCCTATGTTAGGAATAGCATGCAATCTCAGATCAGGATAGGGATTCGCATGCAAGACAGAACTTACTTGCATGGAACATGGCATATACAGATCAAAAACAGATTATTACTTGGTCCCTCATTGATACAAAAGGCAGCATATCATCCTTGTCTTAATCTTTCATGAATTAAGTATATCACATGCAAGCGGCTGACCAGGTAAACAGCCACTAGAATGATACTCGAACATCAAGCAATGCCATCAGTTGCGAAATGAACTCCGGGTGGCCCGGCCACGCTGCTCCAGTAACCAAATTTCCATCAGTGAAGCAACGATCTATTGGATCAGGTTCCAGCCAGGTTGCTCCCGACAAAACCACATTAAGCTTCACTGCTGGGTATGCAGTGCATTTCTTTCCCTATAAATGTAGGCAGTGGATAACAATTAGGCCATGCTAAAAACTTCATAATGTGCAAATAAGTAAATTCACCTCAGAAGAATCAGAAACAAACAGAGCAGAACTTCAAGGTGGTTGCTGTTGGACTTTGCAATAAAATCTTCACTCTGATATCACTTTAGGTACATAGAAAATAGGTACCGTCCAACTAACAAGTCTGACGATACACTGTTATGTTTTCCTAATTAGATCGGTGCACTAGATACTAAGTCATATAAGGTTTAATAAGAGTTTAATTAAGTTATGCCTTGAGGCCCAAAACCTTGTGAAATAAGGAAGGGTTTTGGAGCCTAATTAAGGAGTCCTATTTTGTTTCCTTTTTGCGTGAACCAATTCAAGTGGGCTTGAAAGATAAGTCAAGTCGGCCTCGGTGATGAGTAGAGACGACTTGACCTAGCCGTATATAAGCTAAAGGCCCTGCTCTCATCAGACACGTTCTCTAAACCTATTCTCATAATAAAGAGAGAGCTGAAACAGATTCTGAGAGAGAGCAGAAGTTCTTGAGCCGTCCCTGATAAATTGGGATGAATTCAGAAGCTGTGTAAATTGCTAGGATGACTCCAGGTACGTTTTCATCATATCTCTATACGTATTACATGTTTGTGTGAAAGATCTAGATTATATAATTAAAGAAATCTAACATACACCACACTCCACCTAACACATTATAAGACACTGAAACTGCCTGGCTTACCCTAACCTTGCTAAGTGATTCCCTATCTTAGCCTAGTCTTTGGGGTAACAGATAGAAAATCAGTAAAATTCGTAACAAAATCATTACTGTGGTTGACAAAAGCACAGAATTGAATTAGTAAACTTTATAATTCGACTTGATTGATAAACTTAAAGGATAAGGACTTTGCATCAAGTTTCAGGAAACAAATGTCTAGTCTGGCAGGAAAAAAAATTACTAATTGGGGAACTGCTCTTAAATGATTATGTTGATAACCTTGCTTATGTCGAATTCTATGATTATGTGTGTTGAGGCCCAAAAAATCAAGGGTTGGGCCCAAATAAATTCCTGGCCCAGTGCGACACCTTATTAAGAAGAAACCCGATGCGAAGCATGTGAAATTCTTCATGCATGCTTGCACGAGCCACGATCACGTGCCATGCCAAATAAATATGCAATTTATCACGCTAAGAATTAAAATGAGCCTATAAAAGGCATTGGCTCTACAAGCTCATGCTAATTATTTTGTCAAGCATTATGTCTCCTTTCAAAGACTATAAAATTCGAGCACACCAATTGACATGCCATGCCAAGCAGGAAATCATTATTTTACACATAGCCACGTTACAAGTTTAAGTGGGCCCAAGCCACGCAAATGCCCGGGGCTTGCTTGAGTGGGTTGTGGTATGGATGGTAACAAGCTTTCATGGGGCCCATTGATGAGCCAAGAAATGGAAGTTTTGGGCTGCTTGGGAGCCCCAAAACTCAAGCCCATTTCTTGAGCCCAAACACATGGGTTAGCATGAGAGAGGAGAGAATATGACCCAAAGCCTTAGGAAGAATACAATGGTCGGCTTAGAAAACCCTGTGTTAATTAGAATGCCCAAAATACTTTGTTAAAATGCAACATGCAAACTCCTTCCAGCAGCTTGACGAAAACCTGTCAAACGATAGAAGTAACAGGCTAAAGACCCAACACTATTAAAATATCAAATTAAAGAGAGTTTGATATCACATTTTCAAAGAACACACTTAATAAAACCCTAGCCACTGTATCATTCTGTGAGTCACAAAGAGAAACTCCAGTGAGGTGGAGAAGTAAAAAGCATCACTGCCCCTCCTCCCCCCCTATCTTCTCGCCTTTTTTTTTGTTAGTGAATAAGTTTACTGGGGCATTTTGAATAAGAAGCTCCTTGTTGCGATTTATTCTGATCTATGTTTATATTGAAGTTCTTCATCACCTCTTTTGAACTATATTCTTAATAAAATCCTTCTCCCAAAACCCATTCTCTAACAATACTCAGGCTCTTTAAATTTGGTTCTACATCTTATTTGACGAAGGTTGCTGCAAATCACCCACTTGTTCTTTGACCGGGTTGTTTTGGTTTATTTGTTCGCTCTTATGTGCAGGTAGATCGATGGAAATCATGTTTTCTCTAGATTTTTTACGGATGCAGTGGTGGGTGTGGTCATGATAGTGCTTCTTCAGGTGGTTGTGGTAAGGGTTCGTTTAGGTTCCTAGGTTGCTTTAAGGTTTTAGCTATGTTGAGTTTGTGGGCTTTGTTTGAGGTTATGCTTAATTGTGGTGATATGGGCTAGTAGTTTTTGTGCGGCTTTTGTCCGCTTTAGTTTTGCTTAGAGCATCTCCAATAGCCTCGTCAACAACTTTGGAATGCTAAAATAAGTGAGTTACATCATCAAAACTTTCTCCAACAACCTTGTCAAACTCAGTCATTGAAGCTGCAATTTCTTTCTCTCTCTTCAGGACTGGTAAGTTGACATTCTCTCTTCAAAACTGTTAATTTTATTTTGGAAAAACAAAATCTCCTTGAAAATGTTAAAAACATGCACTTTTTTTTTCCAGGTAATAAATACATAGACATTATTCACATGTTTTTTTTTCTTCATAAAATTACATTAATTGAATTGAAGAGTCTGCTAGGCTTAAATTATTAAAGCAGTAAACAAACCTTGTCAAATTGCCACATAGGTCAACAAAATTTAATTTCAAGGTTTAATTTGCTACTGCTATTGGAGATTTAGTACGTTAGTCTTGTTGCCCTCGTGGGATTAGTGCATTAGATGTTATGTTGAGGTCTTTGATTGTATTGTTGAAATTTGTCTAATGAAGTTTCTCATGATGAAAATAATAAAAATTTTGACCAAGAAAAAGTAGTTAGCAATATTGGACATTATTAGAAACCTAACTTTTTATTCTAGGCAAAATTTCAACGTTTAACTAACTTTCCCGTGTGAGTTGTTATCATAAATGCAAAAGTAAAATCAAAGAAACCCACTAGTTGTTCATTTGACTTTCAATCCAATTGTAAAGCATTCAAGTTTAGCACAAATAAGAAAGCCACTGTTGAATGTTTCACCACTTTTTGAAGTTGTCGTTCGAGTTGGCTTGCAAATTACTTTCAAATAATGATCACCTCTCAGCTGTGATGTCTACCCGAGAATGTTCCCAGAACAGAGGGAATGGTTCTGTTAAACCAAGGCATAAATTGGAGATGCTTTCACTCAAGGATTTGTCATGTTTCAAGGAG